ATTAGCAAATTATGCTATCTTGAGGTAGAAGTGGTTTGCTTAGTGATACATTCTCGATAAATATTCATAATTAAATATTTTTAAATAGAGGTCGCGAGGAACCATGAATATTTAAGACAAACGGAATTGCAAAGTGGATATAGTCACTAGTCAGCACACTTTTTTACGTAAATTGGGGTAGAAAAATTGCGTAGTTACCGCTGTTTCTTGGTGAAATTTGAAAGCGTCATAGTTATTGACGTAAAATACCTGACAAGCCATTTTACATTGCAAAACTATTGTTTACAAGGCAGTTCATTTACTAGATCTGCTTTAGAAATTGGATTTCTTCACATGGTCTACGTAATGCAAATTTTCCATTCGATTCAATTAAAATGTTTCCCTTGGTACAATCATAATATAACACAATTTTCGGTTTATATCCACCGGCCGTGCATTTATTAGCATTAGTTGCCATCAATGGAATATTCGAGTGACACATAAATTTATAACGTGCGGCATTAAATATTCATGCCTAAGGAGGATATAAAAATGTGGTTGAAATAATACGTCAATAAGAAAACAGGAAGCCTGCCTTTATTTACGTAAAAATCGCACAGTTTTACTGCTTTCTTTTCAAGTAAACCGTTTACTTGCTACTCGTGTTGGGGTATAATACAATAATACCCCCCTGAAATTAAAGAACTTCCTATACAACATTTCAAAGTTCAACTGCATAAACTATATCTACTTAATCAATACACCTCTTAAATAAAAATTAATCTTGATAAGCTTCTGTTTTTATTATAATTTATTTGTCCCGTTAATAGTTATTTATGGTATAAGTGTGTTATATTACAAATAAGTCACGCGAGAAAAAAGTAAGGGTTATTTTCTCAAGTGACTTATTTGTAATTAACGCACGTGCACCATACAAAACTTTATCCAACACCTCCTCTCTCCTCAAGCTGGTTTAAAACGTGGAAATCTTAAAAACTGCGTGTTCCGCGAAAAGCTAGAGTGCATGGAATACAAAAGCAATAATTCGTTGCTATGGGGAATAATAAACAAAAAAAAATTTAGTCAGAAAATTTATATGAATTTACTTATGGTTCCTGTACTTTATCTTGCTAGTGAGTTATTTTACGTCCATAACTCATTAGTGGGTTATATTATACCTTACTCGTTTAATTTCGTCATGATAATGACTGGATAACATAGAGGTGTTGGATAAAAATATTATTTTTCACTCGTAATGCCATAATTAATGTTATTTAGTAATCAAACTGGGTTGAGTAGAAGACCAAGCTGCTACTTGTAGTTGCTTGAACTCACTCCATTTAGGAACAACAAGTGAGGCAGTTCTTAAGTACTCTGTTCTCTTCGAACATCATGTATGATTTTATTTTTTTTAATTTTTATTTTGAACATTGAACATTATATTAAGTTGTTTTCAATAAATGCATTATTATTATTAATATATTTTTTGGATTTTGGGTAGTTACTTTGTTTGACGTCAGGACACACTTAGGAATGTTCTGTTCACTTACAGGCATCAAAAGGTGCCGAAAGACACTAACAGTCAAACATTCTGAAATACAATGGAGTGCGTGAAAGGTGCAATACTCACTAAAAGCATTACTGCATTACTTAGCAATACCAACAGAAATAAATGAAACTGCACAAGGTACACTAAGAAGCAGGTTGAAAAGGGGGATTTCAACAGTTCCACTAGGTATTCTCTTCCAAAATTTCCATCTTTGAACGCGACTTCAATCCTGGTGTCCTTTTCGTTGTAGCTGCATTTTTTGTGGAACACCTAATATCTTTATTTGTAGAATCTTAGCAAAATTTCTGACGTCAGCCTGTACAGAATCCTTGGAGAGCATCTGTAGATGTTTTTAATACCTAAATATAAACCATTATCTAGAAATGTCTGAATTTCCTATTATTTGAACATTATACTTGAAAAGCACTTGTAGAATGTTTGGAGAATCTTTAGAGGGTTTCTGAAGAAAATGTTATAACAGCTTCCAGAGTATGTTTAGAACAAATTTTGTATGGGTTTTTAAAAGTTGCTAATTCCTTGGGTCGTTTTCCATATCCTACTTGTGCTGTTGCTCTGCTCCATCTCATTTCACAGAGTCGCCATGTCATCGGCGATAAAGAACGAAGGTGGATGTGACGTAACTTTACGGGAAATGTGACGTATTTGTTCGAGATTCTGAAGTGTCCTTGAACACTCGAGAACATTTTAGAAAAAGTGGTGCTTTATACGCAAATCGAATTGAGTTTCGAGTTCAGTTCCAACTTGCGCTTGTGATAAATAACAATCACTGTTAGAAATTAATCCATTTTAAGACTGATCAATTTGTGGTTAAGTTTAAATAAATAAAAAGTCGTATCTAATTAAATTTACGTTACAATAAAATTATAACTATGGCTCTGGCAACAATGCCACACGCGCACATTTGATTTTTACTATACACGGTGTCCATTTTTCGAGTGCCACTATGGAGATCTCGCTTACCTTAAGAGATAGAAAGTTGGTTAAATGGGGGCAAGAATTTCCTTGCTGAATAACCATCTGAAAAGAAATTTAAAATATCATCCATAGTTCTGAAAATATCACAAAAAAACGAAACTTTGTGATTTTCGTTTTTAATTTTTTCATGATAAACTAGTCGTGCTTGACATTTCTAATTAACACATTATTCGAACACTTTTCAATGGAGATTTCGAATGTGACATCTCGGTTTAAATAACTTTTAAGATGACAGAGAAACACGTGGCAACTTTAGTTTTTCTTATGGGCGCCATTTTTAATTTTAAGATTTTAAGATTAGGTACGTCTATTTTCCTCTTTACGACGATCCACACCACATGGTGTTTCAGTATCACATTTTTCCTAAAATACAATTTTTAATTTTTTGGGAAGAGTGCTTTGGAAAAACCAAACGTTCTTTTATTGTGAACAAAAGTTTGACAGTTTGATGCATATGTCCGGTTGCAGCGTTGGTATCAGGGAACTAGATGTGTTTTCGATTTTCATATGAACAGAATTGCACCTTCGTTTTGCAAGAAAATTATAATTAAAAATAAAACAAAGAATACATAATATTTTAGCAATCAAACTAGCACAAACGTAAATGACACTGCTTGAAATAGGTCAACATTTTGTTCACAACAAAGGAACGTTTTGTTTTTGCATAGCACTCTTCGCATAAAATGAAAATTGTATTTTTAGAAAAAATGTGATACTGAACCACCATGTGTGATATATCGTTGTAAAGAGAAAAAAAGACCTATTCTCAAAATGTTAAAATCCAAAACGGTGCCCATAAAAAAACTAAAGTTGCCACGTGTCTCTCCGTTATCTTGAAAGTCATTAAAAACGGGATGCCATATTCGAAATCTCCATTAAAAAGTGTCTGAATAATGTGTTAATTAGAAATGTCTAGTACAATTAGTTTACCATGAAAAAGTTAAAAATGAAAATCAGAAATTTTCGATTTTTTGCCATATTTTCCAAACTATTGAAGATATTATAAATTTCTTTTTAGATTATTATTCAGCACGAAAATTCGCAACTTTGCCCTAATTTAACCAAGTTTCTATCTCTTAAGATAAGCGAGATCCCCATAGTGGCACTCGAAAAATGGACACCGTGTATGCAATATGTTTGGTTCCAGAGTACCTCATTCCGAAGTTACACATGTATTCCCTTTTAGAGTCTTCAAGGTTAAATAATAACATTCCCAATTCGTATCTCATAATAGACCAAACCAATGTTAATACACAGCAATTTGTAAGCTCAAGTTATAGCTCAAGAATTTTTATAGGTTTAAAGAAATTAATGTATAGGGAAATCCCGTTACGATTCACAGTTGTAATCAAATAGCCCTAATTAATCTAACTGAATAAGATCCAAATCCTCTGCAGTCTCCACACATCCGGAATCCATTAAGAAAACAATGCTCTATAGAAATTTGAAAATGCACCGAATGCATACAGATTTTTCCTTACAATTCCACTAATCCAATCATTTATTGAAAAATCAAGCCTCTACATTTCGACACCCTGTAATTTTTGTATGATATGTAAGTAATGCCTATAAGCTTTGCTAGCCATTGAAATCGAAAAAAAATGCTACTGTCCCACCTTTACAAAATTCTAAAAAGTTAAACTCAGTTTTAGAGCTACCGTTACAATGTATGTAAAATAAAACTGCAGGACCGACGGTGTATTTTGTTTTTGTGTGGTAGAAAATTACAGAATGTTATATTTTTTGGTCATTTCCATCTATACGAAACTTTAAAATTTGGTAATGAAAAGTGAATAAAACTGCTATCACGTATGAGAACTTTTATTTTTTTCGAAACTTTCAAGTTGGTATTTTCATCCGTTTTGCATAAAATCGCCGAAAACCCCTCGTTCCATTCATCCCCTTAAACGTGCTATGTGAAAAGATAATATGTTGAGACCGTCAAACTCCAAAACGAAACATTCTGGACCATTCCTCATTTTGGTTTTGATCTTTATATATATTTTTTTTTATTAAAATTTTTATATATATTTGACAGAAATTTGAAATTTGGTTTATTTACTGCAATAATTACCAATGTAATATGCGGAAATGTCTAACAAAAGCACGAATTAATTGTCTTTAACCTTTTTATCGGTTGTCGTTTAATGTATTCAATGTGAAGGGTCCAATCACAATATTTCAATTACATCAAAAAACCTTAGGAGCACAAAATGTGATGATGCAACAAAATAGCACAAAAAGGACGAGCATTTAAAATGTTACATCTAAAAATTTAAATAAATCGAGTACCATAGGTGTGCAAAAGTTATATGATACGGTCGAAATGACCACAAAACTTGCACACTTTAGCTTTCAGAATGAGACTTTTTGGTTTGAGAATTGTATGAAGCCGGAGTAGGAAGTATGCGTGCAAAATATTTTTCTAATTAACAAGCTGTAGGTATTTAAATATGCGCCTCTCTCATGTTATTTTTAATGGCGAAAAGGCAGCAAATTACTTTCGCAGTAATTAGCAAATACATGCGTAAATGCATACATTAACTACGCAAATAATCAATTTCCCTATAAATTACATTTCACCGCACGTGAACGTGCTCAGAAAAATTTTCTGATTGGTTCACGTAACTTAATTCATGCTTCTTTCTCACAATGGAGAATATGAAAGCGCAACCCTTTCAAAGGCACGTAGTCAGCGTTCGCGCACCCTTTCCCAATTTCCCGAAAGCCCTAATTGGCCGAGCAAAGCGGTTTCAATTAAAACGTCCCGTGTACGCCACTGTCTCGTGCAGGTAACATGTATCCATAGAAACAAGGGGATGCTGTGCAAATCCTCTTTTCGAGCGCGAAATCAAAAGATCCGAGGAACACAGTTCACTTCAGCCCTAATAACTATCAAGCTCGATATTGCGACAAAAACGTTGTCTACTCGTAGTCGATTTAATTTTTTTTGTTTTGTACATTCATACAGCGGGCAGATGCTGTTATTTAATAACGCACTATCAGTACGGTACGAACGTCGATATTTCAGTTTTAATTAAGTTGGCGGGTAGGTATTTGTGAAGTGCTCCCGGTGATTGATTCAACAATTTTAACTGTAATTTAATCAAAAAGCGGGTGAGCTATTTATTCCTTGTATTCCAGCTCCATCAAACGACAAAGTTCCCCAGCGGCGAGATGCTGTTTAACTTTCAGCCGCCCCAAGTGAATTCGCTTTGACGTAAACACTCGATAATTATGTTAAATGAAGAAACCAATTATCGTAGGGTGGTACGCGTGAAACCACAATGGAACGTTGACCAAGAGCCTGAGTGCAAAAGTGTGGCAAACGATCCAAAAACCAAGTACGTAAAATGCGAAACGGATTGCGAAGAGCCTTACGTGCGATTTAGAAGAAGGTCCTCCGTCAAGCAGGAGGATGTCGAAACTTACGATTATTTTGCGAAGGTAATTGTTTCCGTTTTCATCCCCGAATGCAAATTATAAGCCGAAACTGGCTGAACTTTTCGATTATGTTGGACATTTAATAAAACAGGGACTGCTAATGAAATAAACCCTTTATTGGAAAAACCATTATACGACGGCCTAGTCACCACCACATTCAAAATTTAGATTAACTTTCTAATTCTATTAATGAGTACAGCGATAAATAATTAAGAGTGTGGAGGACAAAGCACGCTTAGATTTCAGTATATAAAAGTAGCGCGAAATTGATTTAGATTCCAATTTTGACGATTAATCAAGGAAAACACGCCATTCCTTTCATTTTCATAAACCGTTATTAAAGGTGAACAATAAAAAACTCAAATAATTATTAATATTAATAAATAAATCAACAAAACATGATCCAGACCTGGACCAATCAGGCTAGTTTGCAACTCTTTAAAAGTTGTGGAAAAGGCGTAGCACGCGAAAATCCGCGAAATTATTTCAGTTTTTGCTCTGTATCCATTCTTCGACGGAATGCGAATGTGTGGCACTTTAGGCCCAACCGGAGCTCTGTAGGTCAATTAGTTACCGAATTGCTGCACTTTGAAAATAGACAATTTTCTCCAAAAACTGAAAATTCTAGTTTTAGATCGAAATTGCGGCTAAACCATTGACCCTACGAGTAGAACAAATAGAATAGAAGTTGTAAGCAATTTAATTAGCTTCAAATTAAGCGTCAAGCTGGATTTGTAGGCCTCACAGTTCTTACAGTGCTAATTATTAAGAAGTAGACATATGGATTTATTGTTTTCCCTATTAGCCCAGTCTAAATAGCTCTAAAATAATTTATTTTCAGAAAAAATTAGTTACCGGGCGAAACCCGATTTTTCAGGCAGGTGAAATGAAGAGAAATTGGGAAAAAATAATTAAATCAGCTGAATTTTTCCGCGGGTGAAATCCCGTGGGTTGAAAGGGGTGGAAAGTGGTGTTTTGCAAATTGTGGGAAAACTATTAATTTTAGACGAAAATGTTAAATGCAAAAGTTATAGAGATTAAAAAAATGAGCAACTATTTTCACATAACCTTCAATTTTCCTAGAAAAACCGGAAAAACTGTTTTTTTCGCCTTTTATTCTTATTTTTGCGAAAAAATGTGGTAGGGGTTGGAAATTTGGAGGAAACACCCGCGGACAAATTTTGCTTCTGCAACAAGCCACTGAATATAAGGTGTATTATCTTTTTCAACCGAAGTCAGTTTATTTACAAATACGGTGATTTTTATAAGCAAACTACAAGTGAGATTTCCATCGCAATCATGGAATTACGAATAATCAACCCACTTAATTAGAAATGTATTCGAGTTTAACGTCAATATGATTCCATTTTATTTCCCTTATTATTAAATTATATTGAAGGTATAATAAAATACTATAAGAAACGCGTGTACAATTGGTCTTTAAAGCACTTGCAACGTGCTTTAAAGACTTTATATACTATTTTGCATGCCACATTTTTCCACTATACGACGGTTTCCAAAAGAAGAAAATTGTTTCTATCTTTATTTAAAGTTGTAGCACAAAAAAATATATTACTTACGTTTACTTTGAGTGGGCAAATTTTTAGCAATATCAAGAGAATTGGCTCGTTAAAGCTAAAGTTGAAAATGGAAATCAGACGTTTGCTTTCGAATCGAATGTCTTCTCATTATTTCTGCATTTTAGTTATTTCTGAAAATACGAGTTCACATCATGTACTAAATTATCTTTGTAAAACAATGCAATATCTTTTTAGACATGACAAGCTACCACTATTTGCTTAGGGAATACATGTATTATTTATTCGGGATAGGAAGAGGACGTTCCATTTCGCTTCATAAAAGTTAATTTCTTTGATAACCTACTCGGGGGGTAGCTTTATAACAAAAATGATCGATTTGTCGTTACTACCCGGAAAATAAATTTGGGATTGTGCAGCTGACCGTTATAATTTCTATTCCGTCCCTTCTATCCGAACAATGGGCGGTTTTACTTGAAAATTGCTTTGTTTTGTAAATTTGCGCGAATTTCTAAAAAGTTGCCAATGGTGGTTGAAAATTGTAAACTGTAGGTGCAAAAATCCTTCACCATTCATTTTATGATGTACAACCAATAAAATTTCAGCAACTTTTCAGTCAAGCCTGTTATGGCTATTCATGAACTGGGGGAAATCGGCCAATAAAAATATCCAGCATGATTGGTAACTAAAGTTCGAAATCAAACTGATGGGAAAATTGATAAAAGTTCGAATTCCTTAAATTTCCAGGGAAATTTTAGGGGAGTCCAACAATTTACCCAACAGCAACAAAGTAAGCTAAAAAAACCTAGGTACATAAAAGCTGGTATACAAGACACTTTTGACCATTCTGTCTTACCAACTCTTAGCACAAAATAAAACCGCAAAATTATAAAACGTTTGCTAGTAATCCACGTACTTTTAATTTGTGGCGTACTTCTGCATGGTCAAAGGGGGAATATTTTTTAAGTAGCAACCACTAGTTTTCATTACATATTAGCAGAGCTGGGCAGTATTCGATTTTGTAAATACTTTTTAGTATTCAAATCTTTTAAAGTATTCAAATACTTTGTAATTAAATACTTTTATGGAAGCAGTATTTGTTTTTGTAACTCAAATACTTTTACAAATATTTAGTATTCGAATATTTCGCAAAGTATTTGGATACTTCGTAAAGTATTCGAATACTTCGCAAGGTATTCGAATACTAAACCTTCCTTTTTTTACCAAAAATCGACTACACCAAAATTTCTCGGGAAAACACTTTTTCTTATTAATTTTGGTGCGTAGAATCCAAACAATTCGTACTTTTTCGATCAGACTTCTCAATCAAAAGTTATAGACTAGAAACCAATTTCGAAAGAAAATTCAAAGGGCTGTAACTTTTGAACTAGTAGCCCAATCTTGAAACTGTTTGAAATTATGGATTCTACAGGCCACATTCTATAAGAAAATTTTTTTCCGGGTCGATCTGAGACAATTTTTTTTGCGAGCCTCAATAAAAAGCAGTGTATAATCTTCCTTTTTTACCAAAAATCGACTACACCAAAATTTCTCGGGAAAACACTTTTTCTTATTAATTTTGGTGCGTAGAATCCAAAACAATTCGTACTTTTTCGATCAGACTTCTCAATCAAAAGTTATGGACTAGAAACCAATTTCGAAAGAAAATTCAAAGGGCTGTAACTTTTGAACTAGTAGCCCAATCTTGGAACTGTTTGAAATTATGCATTCTACAGGCCACATTCTATAAGAAAATCGGGTCGATCTGAGACAATTTTTTTGAGAGCCTCAAAAAAAAGCAGTGTATAACCTTTATTTACTATTTAGTATTCAAATACTTTTTGAAAGTATTCTGCCCAGCTCTGCATATTAGTGAAGAGTACCCTTTTTGGGGTATAGCAGTTTAAAACTCTTATTATTGTTCAATTAATTAATCCAATCAATTTCCTTAATTTCATTTTTCTCTTAAATTTGATGATGTAATATGTGGTGATTGCCAATAAAAAAGTAAACCCCCCCCCCCCCCTCCCTTGCCGGTCTTCACAATATGAAATTTTATGCGTTCCAGATGTGCAACTATCAAACATTACTTTTGGAGCCCATCACGTGGTTGTTCCAAATGTGATCAAAGTCGTTATTTGTGATCAAAGTCGTTATTTATGCATCAATTTTCTTGGGAAAAAGGACAATCCCGATTGTTCAATGTACAAAAAGTGACTCATGTGTATTTTGGTGACCAAAATATTTGTATCCAAAAGACGGCAAAATAGTTACTTATGCAACAATTTTATTCGCGAAAAATCCGAGGAAAAATCTATGTGTATATTTCAGGGTATAATTGGTGACCAACATATTTTTGCTAAAAAAATATCAAAATTGTAGGTTATGTACCGATTTTCTTGGGAAAAACAACTCGTATCGACTTCCGGTTTTGGCTATATGAAAGATTATAGGTTCCAGATGTGCAAATACCAAAAATAATTTTGGTTTCCATCACTTACTTAACGCTCCAACTCGGTTTAAATCCTTATTTATGTACCAATTTTCTTGGGAGAAACACAAAACTCAATTGCTCGATGCCCAAGAAATGATACATAATTATGTATTTTTGCCAACAAAAATATTTTTACTCAAAAGATATCAAAGTCGTTAGCTATGCATCCATTTTCTTGGGAAAAAAAGACTACACTCGCTTGATCGCTGCCCAAAAAGTCATCTATGTGTACTTTAGCGACGAAAATAGTTTTACCCAAGGTGTCAAAATCATTATTCATCACCAATTTTGTTGAGAAAAGGACCACTCTGGATTGCTCGATACCAATGAAAGTGATATATATGAATTTTTGCTGACCAAAATATTTTTAACCAGAATCTTTATGGATCTTAGAGGCGACTTTTACTATTTGCTTTTTTTAAACGTTTTTAAAAGTTTAGTGCCTATGACTATTGCAATAGAAAAATATTGCCTTTTTCGAGTATTTCCACAAAAATAAAAAATGCGTTCTTGTAGATACTTTGCTCGTCCGCCTGTCCATTCGTATGTCTGTCCATCTGTCGGCCCCTTACGGCTGTATCCCTACTACATCTTTATCTGAAGACTTATTGTTCTACTTTTGACTTTTTTAAATTCTAGATTCATGATCAAGCCCAAAACTTCAAATTTTGAAGAATCTTGAAATGAGATTTGGGTACAGATCAACAAAATGATTCATAATTTAGCATGAAACATCTATCTGAATCGTTCAAGGGATTGAATAAACACACGATTCGCATTATTTCACATAAACAAAATTTATACTACGACCACAAATGAAAATAAAACATAAAATTCTACTTAACAAAATTAAACGCACTTAACCGAAACGTAACGCACAAAACTTGCTCTTTTTAAATTTATTTTTTGACCAGGTTGCAGAAACTGGCTGGGTTGATCCGTAAGGAATCCCACGAGATGAATTAAATGAATTGAAATGAGCATTTGATTAGTATCAATACCTTAACCAGACTATTAATCCGGTTCAATTTATAATATTGTTATTTTACTTTTTATACATTGTCTATCTATTAAACTATTGGTTGTAATAGGTAATGCTATTGGGCGATTCAGGCGTCGGGAAAACGTGCATTTTGGTCCGTTTTCGCGATGGACTTTTTCTCTCGGGAAATTTTATTTCCACCGTCGGGGTGGATTTTAGGGTAAGATTCCATGTGCGTGTGCTGTGTTGTACGTTCGCGCTTCCACCCAAATGCTAACTTTCCGTTTTTAGAACAAGGTGGTAACGGTCGACAACTCGAGGGTGAAATTGCAAATATGGGATACGGCCGGACAGGAGCGGTTTAGAAGCGTAACCCATGCCTATTATAGAGACGCACATGGTAACTTTTGGTGACCTAAACTGGTGAGAATTAATCGATTGCTTCCAGCGCTTTTGCTGCTGTATGACGTGACCAATAAGACCAGTTTTGACAATATAAGAGCGTGGCTGGGGGAAATTAGGGAGTACGCACAAGATGATGTCGTTATCATGTTAATAGGTAGATACCATGCATAATTTGCTCAACTAAATTTGACAAAATTTCAGGAAATAAATGCGACTGCGGAACGGACAGAGTGATTCGAAGAGAAGACGGTGAGCGACTCGCGAGAGAGTACAATGTAGCCTTTATGGAAACCTCTGCAAAAAGTGGAGTTAACGTAGAGCTCGCCTTCATGGCCATCGCGAGGTAAACTCCCAATTGGAAAAATGACGGTGTGTGTAATTGACAGAGTTTTTCCAGGGAATTAAAGCGGCGACAAAGCGGCAATAAAGACAGTAATAGGTTTAGTGTTCAAGACTACGTTAGGGAAGAAACTGATAAAACCCCGTGTCCTCCGTGCGGTAACTAAATTGCGCCAATTTGAAAATGTATCATCGGTCATTTCGTTTCCATCACAAATTCATGTACCTCTCTGCTTCAAATAAATCTGTCTGTATCTAAGGAGTTTAGATTTCCAAAACGTGTTAAAGAATGTAAAAGCCCTCGATGTGAAGTTATTACTGTGACAGAAAATTATCAATAATAATGAATTACGCTTATTGTACTATTTATCTGTATTTGGAAGTATTTAACCATTTTTATGACCAACAATTAGCAAAAAAAACGATTCAATTAAGAAGCATATCCCGCGTTTTTGTTCCCTAGGTATCTAGCTGTAAATTCTGTTTGTTAAAAATGAAGAGAGATTTATGAATATATCATTAGTTATTAAATTAGGTGATTATATAATCTGTTATTGGTCTACTGCATGCGGAAGCCATGGTTTACAAACACTGCTTCCGCTTGCGAGGTACGAGCACTTTATCTATGAGCTTTTATGGATCATCCAAACCATGGCAAATGGAAGATTGCCCAACAGTCGAATCAAAAATAGAATGTAGACTTAAAAGCTTGTAGATATAAGATTTGTGGTATTGATATTGGTTTATAAATAAATCAACAATTGTGTTTCTATTGTTTCATTTTGAACATATCCAGATCTAAGTCTTTAGTCTGGTAGGTATCCGGCAGATGAACAGTTTGACGAGCTACTAAATCTCCGCCACCTAAAGGGACGACAGCTGACCAGAAAAAAATTCGCCCTTAAACAAAGGTAAATTAAATTAAATTAGCGTGGCTGTGTACACTGTGATTTTCCAAATTGTGGTAGCATTTTGAAATACAAGGATATCCTGTCGCTAAATTAGTAGCCGACAGAAGCTAAAATGGGGCCAGAATGTAATTAAAATAAGATTCTTCTTATAAATTACTTTAACGCAACTTTACTCTCACCCCATTCGCGTTAAAATTATTCTTATATACTTTAGTGTCCTAATTTACAATAGTATAGCGAGCATCACAGACATCGGGGAGCCAGCAGGCGCCATGAAGTCGATACAAGATTTGTTACCAGCAATAAGGAATGAAATTGGATGCGACTCATCCTTTCCTTGATATATGTTATAATCAATTCCACAAGTAAAATTTAATAATTGTTTACAGCTTTTAAGATATAGGTAAATAAAGCAGAGCTGGGCAGTATTCGATTTTGTAAATACTTTTTAGTATTCAAATCCTTTAAAGTATTCAAATACTTTGTAATTAAATACTTTTATGGAAGCAGTATTTGTATTTGTAACTCAAATACTTTCACAAATATTTAGTATTCGAATACTTCGCAAGGTATTTGAATACTTTGAGAAGTATTCGAATACTTCGCATAGTATTTGAATACTTAACCTTCCTTTTTTACCAAAAATCGACTACACCAAAATTTCTCGGGAAAACACTTTTTCTTATTAATTTTGGGGCGTAGAATCTAAAACAATTCGTACTTTTTCGATAGACCTCTCAATCAAAAGTTATAGACTAGAAACCAATTTCGAAAGAAAATTCAAAGGGCTGTAACTTTTGAACTAGTAGCTCAATCTTGGAACTGTTTGAAATTATGGATTCTACAGGCCACATTCTATAAGAAAATTTTTTTTCCGGGTCGATCTGAGACAATTTTTTTTTCGGGGTCAAAAAAAGGCAGTGTATAACCTTCCTTTTTTACCAAAAATTGACTACACCAAAATTTCTCGGGAAAACACTTTTTCTTATTAATTTTGGTGCGTAGAATCCAAAACAATTCGTACTTTTTCGATTAGACTTCTCAATCAAAAGTTATAGACTAGAAACCAATTTCGAAAGAAAATTTAAAGGGCTGTAACTTTTGAACTAGTAGCCCAATCTTGGAACTGTTTGAAATTATGGATTCTACAGGCCACATTCTATAAGAAAATTTTTTTTCCGTGTCGATCTGAGACAATTTTTTCTTCGGGCCTCAAAAAAAGGCAGTGTATAACCTTCCTTTTTTACCAAAAATCGACTACACCAAAATTTCTCGGGAAAACACTTTTTCTTATTAATTTTGGTGCGTAGAATCCAAAACAATTCGTACTTTTTCGATTAGACTTCTCAATCAAAAGTTATAGACTAGAAACCAATTTCGAAAGAAAATTCAAAGGGCTGTAACTTTTGAACTAGTAGCCCAATCTTGAAACTGTTTGAAATTATTATGTCGGGCTCGATCTCAGACAATTTTTTTCGTGGCCTCCAAAAATCGACTACTTTTAAGTTATTCAAATATTTGAGAACAATTTAGAAATGTTTAGGGAAAGTTTCCATTGTCACAAAATCAAATATAAAAATCCGATACAACTGAATACCGAACGATCCTGGAGTGAAAATTTTTGACTCGATAGTCTACGTAACTTAAAAACAATAGGGACCGTTCTTATATCCTTAAGACCATGTGTACCAATTTTCAAAGCGATCGCACGTTTCTAAACAAGTTATCATGCACACGGACAAACGGATGGTCAAAAATGGATCTGTTCCAAAATCGCTAGGATTAATTTCAGAAAGGCGTACGTATCATGTGCACGACGTACGATCGCTTTGAAAACTGGTACACGTATTCTTAAGGATATAACTGGTATAAGAAAGGTCCTGGTAGGTACCTCCTATATAATAATATAATAATAATAATACGCTTTTACTCCCCTTAAATTTGTATATAACAATAGAAATATAAAAAAAGCTAACCCCATACAAAGTATAACTTGATTTTTTAAGTAGTATTAAGACTTTTATCTAGTATACTATTTTAAATTTTTAATGTATTTGAGTGACAAGTATTTGAATACTTTTTACTGTATTCGAATACTTTTCAAAGTATTCGAGTACTTTTTATAGTATTCGAATACATTCTAAAGTATTTGAATACTTATTTTTTAAAGTATTTAAGTATGTGTAAAGTATTTACTATTTAGTATTCAAATACTTTTTGAAAGTATTCTGCCCAGCTCTGAAATGAAGTCATTAATCTTGTAAAAAACGAAATCTCTTTACGCAATATGCTTTTACGTGTATGATGTGTTGCCTAACAATGCTTGCAACACTTTTAATACGAGATGAGTCCCCCTGTACAACAACATTGTAAATGATTTTGAATATTTGCATCATTTAAGTAATGGGAACTGCAGTGATTTAAATAGTGGGAAAAATTTGATTTGTAATCATAACCTAAAAATTTCTCTCATTTCTCATTGTAAACCGGTATACTTTCGTTTTTAGATGTTTTATTTTCCTATAATTATTGATTCATGAGGTATGGTGAAAATGTCTCAAGTGGCTCAAAACGAATGGCTGTCTCTGTTTACTACCGATGTAGAAAAGATTTGGAGCACATATCCTTCTGGATTACGACTGATATTCACTGCTCACTACATACTCCAAAAGCAGCTGAAGGGTAGGCATTACCAACAGTTGCACCCTTCCGTTTCACTTAAATTGTAGAGTTTGAAGCTCAAATCAACAAGAACATGGAACGTTTCAAACACCAAGTAAAGACCACTGAAAAATCTAACGATGACAACAGTAGCTTTGAAATTTTACCTACGCAAGATTCCAACAGGTTAATTAGAAGCCCAAAAATACAAGGGTGCAGAAAAAGACATCATAAAAACTCGACCAGTCCTTCTTTACTTGCGGTAGCAAAGAGTAAGACAGAAGAACCTCTCAAACCCCTAAAAGAAAATTCTTTTAATCTGTTATCCAATGACACGGCAACACCTGATCTTCCCGAAGTGGTTGACTCTTCGATACTTATAAGTAATTCACCCGACACTAGTCTTTCCAAGAAATCCAAGTTTGTAAAACGATCCGATTTATTGAGGAAAAAGAAGTCAAGCTCGTTAACTTTAACACAACTTTTCAACACCATGCCCACTCAGCGTGATAAATCTGACAATGTAAAGCAAAAGGACTTTGAAAACTTGCCCAAACGTAATTTGTTTAAGGACTACGACATGTGGGTGGTATCGGATTTGTACATTTTTGTTAACCTTCTCTTTCAGACTTCCATTGCCCAAAAGTAAATCGCCGGAGTACCCGCATAAGACCGAGGCCGTTAAGAAAAAGTCGGAACGAATGCAGTTACAAGGATGGTCGTGTGCCGAATGCAAGGAGGTACTTTTGTTACAGTAAGCGATAGGTAAATTGGTAATACTGTTGTAGTACTATTCGAGTTTTGACTTGCCGCCCGAAAAGTTGAAGGAGAAAATGAATCAGTGCTCGAGACATCGCAACAAATATGAACCTCTGGACAATACGCCTAAAGGTTCGCATAGGTGGGGGGTCTTAATATGGGGACTACAATTTTGTGTTGCAGGATTTTGGGATATAACGATTTTTAGTTCTCAAGATGATTAATTGTAATAATTTGTGATTTTAGACATTGCTTTTAGTTTGGAAAGACTATTTTTTTTAAATAAATGTTTTACTTTTTTATTGGTGTACAGTTCCGCTCTAATGTCTTTTACCATTTAATCTTAAATATTGAATTACTTGATTTAAATCAAAATTTTGAGAGGAGGGTGAGCCCCACTTACACTTGGCGCTCTTTAAGTCAGCAAGGAATATTGACACTTTTTCACATACCAAAAGTTCCACTAATGGTATAATAGAAACTGCCTAAATTTAGGGAATTTTGGTTTTGAACGTTAGAAAAGTACGATAGAGGTTAAATTGAATGAGGTTATAACCTTTTACCGGCACGTCTAATTTAAAAATAGGAAAATGGAAAAAAAGTCCATAGATTTCATACTTATCTTTCCATTATTACTGCTATCATTTGTAATTGTATTGATAATCGTCAACGTAGCCGTATACGTCAGGTAAGTTAAGCACTGCGCCGATACCGCCAAACTCACCCATTTCCCTTCAGGAGAAAGTTTCCAGTGAAAGTAAACTGCTGGTTTTGTAACCAGTGGACCAAAGTACCTTACAATTCAAAGGACGCATTCGAGTGCCCCGCTTGTTTGCAATATAACGGGTTTAGTAAGGTAAGCGATTCACAGTGTGAATGTCACTCGATCCTGTGCAATTTGTAGGACGGCGGCTATAACAAAGTGCTCCCCGAACAGTACGACGTGTCCTCGACGAAATCGGTAAGCGGCAAGTATACGCAGTCGAACGGATTGTGTCAGCTCTGCAATAACAACCAGAAACTGCGCGTGTTTCAGCTGGCCAATTTTGTTCCGCTCGATGAGGCCAATTACGATACGGAAATCGAGCATTTTCAGTGAGTTGTCGGTTTGCAGTCGACGTTTGTGATTGTTTGGTTTTCAGAAAGCAATTGGATAAGGCGTATAAGCTGTGCCGTCAGTGTCAAAAGACTGTTCAGACTACGATACGCAAGCAGAACTGTTTGCTTGGGATTGACGTGCAGAAGCGCATATCTGCCGGTTTCTCGATGATGGACTTAACCCAAACGACTAGTGGGCTTAAACGAATGTATTTTAGAAAGATTGTCTTTTATGCTATCGTTGTGTTTTCCATTTTGAATATCTGCTACGTTTTGAGGCAGAATGTGCTCATTAACAGTGTACACCTGCAGAAAGCAAAAGAGCTTTGTAGCAATTATTCGAAGGATGTGTTTTCTCGATTTGATGTTGAGCAATTGTGGGAAGCTCCATATGTCTCCGATTTTTTGGTAGTAGTAGAAGTGGCATGGATGAGCATCTCTGACGTGTTTACATCACTGACAGAAGCACTTTTTGGGAATGCTCTAGTCATACGTACTCAGTTTTGGTTGTTTTTTGTTGGGCTACTTCTGCAGCTGGTATGGCTGTGTGTAAACCCCGAAAATTTTAAGAAAAATGTGTTCATCTCATTCGTAAGTCTAATAATGCTGTTACTTGATCTAGGGTACATTTCATATAGCAAAGTAGATGTAGAAACTTTAAGTCTTCCTGTTGCCATTCTAAACATACTGTCAATGTGGCTTTCGTATACTGCCATTAAAACAAAGCAACGAAAACCTCCCTCAAAGCTGCTCAAAAAGAAAATTAAACAAAAGACGATTTTTGCTGAAGATGACACCCCTAAACCGACCGTAACAGACGAGTCATGCTTTATTAGCAAATTAGTTAATGACACCCCACTAATTACCCTCAAAGATAAGAGAGGGCAGCATATTCCTGCCGAAAACTTATTCGTTAATAACGCAGACTTAGATGTAAGCTTAAACAAATTACACATAGGCACAACGCCCCTTAAACGATCTCCCCCCAAAACTTCTTGGCCAGTTTTAGAACGTCCGAGACCCGTTATTTCACCAGCCCGGTTTCAATTTGATAATTATCAAACCAACCAATCGCAGAACTCCCGAAATCTGTATACCTCCCAAAGTAACTTTGCTGGATTTGCTTGCAACTCATTTTATTCGCCACCGGTTTGTAATATCGGCCCACAGTCGCCTTTCAATCACACGTGTTGCCCACAATATTCGTGTGGGGGCTCGGTGTACCGTCCCTTAATCAATAATGAGCAGCTGGTCTACATCTCGCCCAACTATTTACAGTCGGGAGACCTGTATGAGATACTCAGACAGAATTTTTCCAATGGGATTTTCGATGCAAGTTATAACGAAAGTTTTAATAAACAACAGTTCCAGAGTGCGGGGTATAAAAAATTTAACTGAACTGCATTTATGTCTCAGGTAACTTTGTGATATTTTGAATGAATTATTTTTGTTAGTTTGTAAGTTTAATGGTACGTAAGTGTAATTTTTAGGTTGTGTAGCGTGTTATTTAAGTTTAAGCCTTTTCGACATTAACACTGCCCTATATTATTAATAAAATCAATTTGTACAAATATTTAGTTTTTACTTTATTACCCCTTCAGCATTTAACATGCTCCCTCTGCCCCTTTTCCCTTTTTAAGGATGTTACTGGAATTTGTACTTCCAGAGGTACCTATTGAACATTTCAGCTGGAACATTCAGGGGGGGATGCTCACTGTTAGAGAAACTGTACTCAAGGAGGGAGAATCCAGAGAACGCTTATCAATGTGGGTACAATACCAATTGAAACTCCAAAAGAAAAATGCAAGAACATCTTCGATACTCTCACTAAGGCCTAGGCTAGGCAAATTGATAATGTTGCTGCGGACATCGGTTGTCTAATTTATTCTATTCATAAGGAGAGCCCGACTAGGCAACACTTAGGCCCACTATTCAGTTTTATAAGCTTAGAAGATCCAGAATTGCCAAGGAACCCTGTTAAAAAGAGGCCATGGACTGTCTGAGACCTGAGTCCGGTTGCTTTTTGCTACAGAGCCTGGATTTGACATCACCCAGTCTAATCCTGGTCCTCCTCCAAAGCTTAGGGTAAAGGCTCTAGTCCTAGAAGCACCACCATGGCCAAAGTTGGTGTGGTTTTCATGGCTCCAGTGGTTCCCAG